TACCGGCTTGTGCACTGGGCGCATGCCGGATCACCGCGGGTGCACCGCGCGGTGCTCTGAGAGTGTGGGTTCTGGACGAAATGGCTAAACTAGCCCGGCTTCCCGACGACTTCAGCAAGTACTCGCGGACAGAATGGCTGCGAGGCATGTGATGGAACATCACAGCGTGTTCGATGTGTTTATGTTCGCACTTGCACAGCTGGCGTGCTTGGTCTGGTTTCGACATGTGCGCGCACATGTGGATGTGATGACAAAGGATAATGTAACAGAGTCGTCTTAGAAAAACGGGTACGCGCGCATAGTTTGATTTACAAGGATGGGGTGTGTCGATGCCAGCCTGACTGGGACGGTATGCACTCATGTGGAACATGAGCGGTGAGGCAAAATCTCTTGTAAATTGTACAATCCCAAATGCTTCGACTACCTCGGGGTGGTCGTGGTGGAATATCTTTCTCAGCGTGTTCCCACAAGGAGGATGAAAACCATACGAGGCCACAGGTGGCCCAAGGAGGCTAGACACCATGGGCGACCGCGACGTCCAGGGCCATAGGAGGCCATCGAAGAGCATAGCGGGCCATGCATCCAAGGCCGAGTGTGGCACTCAGAGCAATGAGAGACTGCAGAAGGGCATAGGAGACATTAAGAGGCCGCAGGAGGCTAAGCATCTACGCGAGAGTGCGGCAACTAGGGCCGCACGAGGCCACATGAAGCCAAGGGAGATCATGAGGAGGACACAAGAGGCAAAACGCCCACTAGCAAGTAGAGCATCCAGGACCAGGCCGGCAGGAGGCCAAGGGAGATCGTAGGTGGCCAAAGACCCAAGCAGGAATGCGGCAACCTTTGCCTTGGAGGACCATCGGATGCCATTGGAGGTCAGGCATCCACGGGCGATTGTCGCAGCCAAGGCCATTGGAGGCCACTGGAGGCCGTAGCCATAGGAGGTCAAGAACCCTCGGGCGAGTGCGTCACCCAAAGCCGCAGGAGGTCAGAGATGGCCATGAGTTGCCATGAGGGGCCATCAGAGGAAGTAGGAGGCCAACCGCCCAACAAGTGCGGCATCCATGAGCGTAGGATGCCTTCGGTAGATAGTACATGGGGCCGCTGGAACCCAAGCGCTCAAGTGCGAGAGCACAACCGAAGGCCACATGAGGCCATGTGAGACCATCGGGCGGCAAGAGCCACGGCCCAATGCGGGACCCAGGGCCGCAGGAGGCCATCGAAGACCGTATGGAGCCACATGAGGCCGATCACCCAGCGGCGAAAACGGCGCCCAGGGCCACGCGAGGTCATCGGAGTGTCTATAGGTCGCCAAAGGACGTCAAGCACCCACGAGCGAGTGCGGCACCCAGGGCCACGGGAGACCATAGGAGGCCACAGGATGACGTAGGACACATGGGGCCACAGAGGCCAGGCACCTATGGCCAGACCCTGCCTCCCACGACCAGCTCAGTGTAGCCCACGCGAGAGCCCCAACGCGCAACCACTGTCCAGGGAAAGAACAGAACACGCAAGGGCGATGACTATACGCAAAGCAATGCATGCTAGAGGTATGCGGCACGACAGACGCAACACTTCGGATACAACACAACAGATCATAGAGACCATCCTGCTCCTCCCCCCTCCTCCAAGCTCACCCTCGCCCTCTGCATCCTCATCCTCGTCCTCCTCTTCCTCGTGGTCCACGACCGCGCGGCAGCCCCATGCCCACAAAAGGTGAAGAAATCTGTAGAATCCACTTGCTCCCAGATGCTCAGCTTTCTAGCGACGGAGGCGATCCGACGGTCTAGACTATTTAACCGAAATCTGACTGTGGCCCGTTGAAGGACCCCAGAAACCGAAAGTGGTCAAAAAACTCCCAGCATGTTTTTGCTCACCAGGCGAGGACCTGGGCATCCGACGATGTGACTTTCCCAACCCGCGGGCTTAGAAGTCCGCTCCCATTCCCCAAGGGTCGCCTGTCGCCCCTGGTGAATTTTGGATTGCCCCAGGGTCCAAAAACCGCCGCCTGGGGCCGGCATCGGGGAGATCAGAAAGCACATGCAACTGTCGCCAGAGCTCTTGGGGGTGCAACCCCCCCTTGGCCCCCGTTCGTGACGCGACCTCCCCGAACAGGCCGACTATCCTGGACCTCCGACGGCATGGTTCTCTTGCAACGTGTGCCCATGGAGGTCTCGACCCATTCCCCCGGACCGGCTTTTCTCACGGGGGATGTGGCGATCCCAATCCCCGACTTTCTGGGGGCTTTCGGATGGACGATCAAATTTGGGGCCCAACCAGGGGACATACGCAGGGGGGCGTGCACCTACAATAGGGGTGCGTCCGAATAGCCTTAGGTCGGGCATGTCCCCCTACAGGCAGATTTCAAACGAAAGCTAGAAATATTCGAATCTTGCGGAGAGGGGCCGCGTGGCTTGACCTTACGCGTTTTTTTACGCGGCACTATGCGGGCATTTACGCAGGGTGCTGTTCTCAGGACAACTGTGCCCGTAGTTAGTGGTAGGGCTACGACTCCTCAGGAGCAGCCGTGTGGCCTGACCTTACGCGATTATTACGCGGCGTTACGCAAGCATTAGCGCAGGGTTGTGCTCTCAGGACGATGCCTGTTCCTCTTTTTATACAAGGGCAAAGACATATCTTCTGTCGTGCTGCTGCCCGGGGACGACGTGCAGGTCCCATGGCGGCTCACAAAAAATGTGATAGAACGCCCGGCGGGTCCCACACCCAGCCTTGGTCGTAGCGGTCGTCCGTGCACCCTCGACTGCTGGCCTTATCCACCGGGTTGTCGTGGGTATTGACATACTCGACCCACAAATGCAGTCGTCGCCGGTGGACAATCTCTCACGTGGCGTGCATCCCGTTGTTCAGATCTGCATTCACGCTGTTGCCTTTGATCAGCGCGTGCATGGCGTCCGTGTTGTCTACGAAATGGACCCAGAGTCGATGCTCCAGGCCTGGCCACGCGGCGAAGGCAAGCAGTGGCCCCACACCCTCGATTGGAGCTATGGTGTTGGAGGCATGCTGCGCCCATTTCGCCAGCGCGTTCTCTGGGGCCCTCGTCGCAGTGATGCGGGGCCTTCGGCTGGCTCTGCTGGTTGCCACATTGCCGCGGCGACGTTGCCCGAACCCTCCCCGTCGCTGATGGTGACGACCAGGGGCAAGCAAGATATGTCGCACAGAACACGGCGCCGATTTTCATGGACGAGTGCTTCTTCGAGCCACCTGAACATGGCGAGCATGGCGCCGTTGACTCCGAAGAAGTTGCCGCTCCTCTGACGGGCTCGCAGCGGCGCCAGCACTGCTGCTCCACACCAACCTCAGAGGCTCGAGCGCACCCATTTGAACGAGCCGTGCAGCGTCGAGGCGTCCGCTGCTGACACCCTCCCTGTAGCTCGGTGGGCGCGGATCTGAGATAGCAGCTTGTCAACCTTGGCCTCGCAGAGCCAAGCTGTCGCCTCAAGGCCAAAGTAGGCGAAGGTGCTCGCTGGGTGGTTTGCTCTTGCTTTTGTCGTACCTCCAGCCGATAAGGTCCATTATCTCCAACACGAGAGCATGGGGGTGCTTGGCAGTATGTTCCGGCTCGATGTCCCGCATGTCATCAGAGTAATGGCAACGCAAAATGCCCAAGCGCACTCCCACGAAATAACATATGAAATGTGGATGTTCGACGAAATTCGCCTGGGCAGCTTTGTCGCCGAAAGTCCCTCCCAGCGGCCTCACCCACTGGACCCGTTGAAATTGGGGATTCCACGCCAATTCGTAATGGTACGGAGCATGTCCCGGCCATAGCGGGTCTTGCCGGAACGCCATCCCCCAGTCGATGCGGAAGCCTTGGAGGCGCACGTTGCTGGGGAGGGTTTCTCTGAGGATGCGCACCACCGCGTGTGCCGATGATAAATCCTTGATAAATCCTCAGAAGAATACTTCTCGCACAGCGTGACGGTGTCGTTTCCCCCAGTTCTTTCCAATCAGAAAATGTTACGACACTTCCACGCGCCGTCCTCCTTGAGCTCCCACTTGGGCCACCGGGGAGTCAGGCATGTCCTAGCAAGGTCAAGTTCTGCAAGCTCGCCTGGCCCTTCGCAGTGCCCCATCGAAAGCTCAGCAGGGTTTTTTTTCCCACGCCTTCTGGTCGAGCGAACTGCCCCCCGAACTTCGCATGCCTCGGATCATGCGCTCGTTCCGCTCTCGCGGACACGCAATCCAATCTTCGATCGTAATCGCGCCCCTGTTGTGGTCCTCGCTGAACACGCCGCCCGGCGGGATCTCTCCCAGGCAAAGCTTGCCGCGCATCAGCCGGGCGACGTAATCGGTGCCGCTGTATTTGGCGTGTTCCACCATCCACTCCAGGAGGGGTAAATGCAGGTGGCCGATTACCTTGTGGACGTCGGGGTGTAGCTTTTCAGCATACTGCTCTCTGATGCCTGTCAGGCGCCGAGCAGCATCACGGACGGGCTGCATCTGCGTCTCTCGCCAGCTGTGTAAATCCTCCAGGTGGTCCAACATACTGCTGGCGGCCTGTATCCACGTGGCAGGCATTGGTGGGGGAGCAACAGCCGGGTGCTGCAGACGGGGCAATTGCTCGAGGAACGCCTCGGGCCCGCATCCTTGCTAGATAAGCGGCTCGAAGCATCTGCCACGTGGCTGCTCGCCAAGCGCCGGCGCGCGCCCGATCCGGGCCTTCAGTCGGCGCCTGCTGGGCTGCTCAATGACGCCTGCCCGTGGGCTGTCGCTGACCGTTCCCTGCAAGCGGGCCCCGCCGCCTTGCGCGGAATGTTTCCGGCCTGGGTGATCGCCAAGGCTGTCATTAGACTCCGCGCATGGGATGGGCAGGTCTGGCCCGCCCGCCGCGGCCCCATTGTAGTGTCCGGGGCCGGGTTCCGCAGTGCACTGCGGGCCCGCGCGGTGGTTCTTGGCCCTGCAGTGTTTGGCGCCGCACCCAGGGTAGTCACACTCGCGTGAATCTGGGCACGCCGCGCCCTTCCGGCAGCCCGTGGCATGTTTTAGAACGGGCGCCGGGGCTGCCCAGTCTTCTTGTTCGTGCGCTCCAGTCCCGGCCAGTTCCCCTTGGTGAAGGCAGGGGGCTGGCTCGCGCCGGCGGCGCCGCCTGGCTTTGAAGCCTTGCGCGGCTGCTCGTCTCGGGGGGTCTGGGCGCCCTGGCCGCGGCTGCGGACGTGCCCTCGCGGTTGCGATTCGCTCCTGGGCCGCTTCCTGTCCCCGGCGCCTGAGAACAGGTAGGCGCTCTGGCCGCGGTGGTGGGTAATCACGTCCTTAAAAGTCGTGAACTCCCTCCGCTGCCAGCTCAATATCCACTTGGTGCGCATGCGGAAGTCGGCCTTGAGAAAATCGTGCAAGATCTCCGGCGACCACTTGACGTCCATGATTTTCTCCATGAGACACTGGTGGTAGTCGAGCAGGACGGTGAGCGACGCGTTCTCGAACTCGGGGGCGGCCGCCTGGTTGTAGGCGATCATCAGCTGGAAGTGCTGCTCCCGGAACTTGGTCAAGCCCTGAACCGGCGTGTAGGCGCTCTCGGCTTAGGCCTGCACCCCGCCCTGCTTGGAGGCCTTGAGGCTCGCGTGTGAGCCACGCCTGAGCACACATAGCTACGGAAAGGCAGCGGGTGCAGCCGGCCAGCCGGCACTGTCAGTCATTACAGTGGAGCCTCGGATCTCGTCAGCCTGACCCTACGCGGTTGCTTGCACATTTTCAACGGGCATTTGCGCGAGGGTGTGGGGTTCGCGCTGCCTGGCAGGGGGCATCTAAGATCCTTGCGTAGGGCTTCCCCCCAGCCTCTCGAAGACTCATCCCTCCCAAGCCGTCCCCTCCAACCATAGTGGTAGGGTCCCGAATCTTGCGGAGAGGGGCCGCGTGGCTTGACCTTACGCGCTCTTTACGCGGCACTACGCGGGCATTTACGCAGGGTGCTGTTCTCAGGACGACTGTGCCCGTAGTTCGTGGTAGGGCTACGACTCCTCAGGAGCAGCCGTGTGGCCTGACCTTACGCGATTATTACGCGGCGTTACGCAAGCATTCGCGCAGGGTTGTGCTCTCAGGACGATGCCTGTTCCTCCTTTATACAAGGGCAAAGACATATCTTCTGTCGTGTTGCTGCCCGGGGATGAAATGCAGGTCCCAAGTTACAGCCCACTCAGTTCGTCCCAAGTTCGCCCCTGTGAGTGGGGCAGGCCACATTGTGGTCCTGTTTCCCCTCTCCCCCCGAGCCACATAGTGGTCCCATGGTGGGGGTGGGCCACATCATGGTCCCAGTGGGGCATGCTGATTCCAGTCTCCCTGCCCAAGCCACATAGTGGTCCTTCGGCGGGTTGGGCCACATCGTGGTCCCAGTGGGGTGGGCCACATAGTGGTCCCGTGCGGGTTGGGCGACATCGTGGTCCCCAGGGTTTTCCTTGGTGTGCCGTTTTGGCTGGTGGGTCGCATCGCGATCCCATGGTGTCCCCTTTTGGCTGGTGGGTCGCATCGTGATCCCATGGTGTGCCGTTTTGGCTGGTGGGTCGCATCGCGATCCCATGGTGTGCCGTTTTGGCTGGTGGGTCGCATCGCGATCCCTCGGTGTGCCTTTTTGGCTGGTGGGTCGCATCGCAATCCCACTGTGTGTTCGTCAGATCGCAGAAAGCCGCCGTGCTCGCTAGAGGCTCGAGGCCTTGAGGCTCGCGTTTGAGCCACGCCTGAGCACAAATAGCTACGGAAACGCAGCGGGTGCAGCCGGCCAGCCCGCACTGTCTGTCATTACAGTGGAGCCTCGGATCTCGTCTGCCTGACCATACGCGGTTGCTTACACACCCTCAGCGGGCATTTGCGCGAGGGCGTTGGGTTCGCGCTGCCTGGCAGGGGGCATCTAAGATCCTTGCGTAGGGCTTCCCCCCGGCCTCTCGAAGACTCATCCCTCCCAAGCCGTCCCCTCCAACCATAGTGGTAGGGTCACAAACCATACCCAAACATATCCAGAACAATATTTTTTAAAATCGTCCACGGACTGTTTTCTGATTTTTTTGGGATACTCCTCCTGTAGAGGGACACGCCCGACTTAAGAATAGCCCCCTGTGGCTACACCCCCGAGTTCCCCCCCTTCTCTGAGTGGCTTCCGTTTTCGTTGAAGTCGGGGGCTGGGGGCGAGAACTCGCCTGGGTCCCACCCGTTTTCTGACGGCTCTTGGGCCCGGCGAGGGCCCCCCGAGCCTGCTGCCGGCGCGCACGAGCGGGGGCAGGGCGAGGGGGGAAGGCCTCTCAGAAGGAGGCCGCTCCTCAGCAGGTGCCGGCCCTACACCTACCGACAAGGCCCGCGCCCTCCAAGAAGCAGGGGGACTTCTAGGAAGTCTTCCCCCCTCCCATTGCCCCCCGGAACGGAACGAATTACAACCGACTTGTCCCAATTCCAACCGCTCGGAGCGAATTGCAACCAGAAATGAAACCAATTCCAACCAGAAATGAGACCAACTACAACCATGGATGGGGTCTTCGGAATTCCTCAGGATTCCTTCGGATTCTTCGGAATTCCTCCGGATTCCTTCGGATTCTTCGGAATTCGTCAGGATTCCTCCGGATTCTTTCGGGGATCCTCAGGATCCTTATGATTCCCTAGGGTTCTTCGCAATTCCTCAGGATTCCTCCGGATTCCTTCGGGAACTCCCAGGATCCTTCTGATTCCTTAGGATCCTTCGGAATTCCTCAGGATTCCTCCGGAGTCCTTCGGGAATCCTTCGGAATCTTTACGAATCCATAGGAATTCTGGGAAATCCTGTGGAATCTTTACGAATCCATCGGAATCTTGAGAAATCCTTAGGAATTCCTTAGCGAATCTTCAGGCAATCCTCAGGCACCCTTCGGACTCCTTAGGAATCCTCAGGAATCCTTAGGAATCGTTAGGAACTCCTCGGGGATCCATTGTTTTTTGCTTCCATTCGATGCGATGCCGAATGTTGTCGCTCGAGCTTGCCACCTGGGGTCCTCTAGGATTCTCGTTGCAGCAAAACTGCCGCCACTTTCGAGGGCTGCAGGGGGGGCCAGCAGAGTGACGTCCTATGGGGAGTCAGATTGGACCTCGCCATCCCTGGGGGGGTGGGTGCGATCTGCGAAGCTGTCGCCACTTTCGAGGGGTGCTGGTGGGTCTAGTGGAGTGGCGTCCTACAGGGGGCCCTAGAAGAGCCCGAAACGGCCGTAAGAGGGAGAAGCAACCGAAAAAACAATTACTTTTTCAGAAGGGGGCGGGCAGAACAACCGAACAATATTTTCTTGTTCGGAAAAAGGGGGCGCTTTGGGGGCCTTCTTGGAGTCTCTCTGGGCCACTCTTAGGGCCCTCTTGGGGCCTTCTTGGAGCCCTCCTCGTGGCACGCTCCGCCCCCTCGTGGCTGGTTGGCGGTTGGTTGGTGGCCTGGTTGGCTGGCTGGCTGGTTCTTTGGCTGGTTGGCTGCTTGGTTGGCTCGCTGGCTGGTTGGCTGGTTGGTTGCCTGCCTTGCTGGTTGGTTGGTTTGTCGGTTGGCCTACAGGCCTGCGCCATGTCACATGCCGGGGGGCCCGCCCGCT